CACTCATCAATGACAATGATTTAAAGTCAAATCTCGTTGACTAGTTACAATAGTTACATTTACAATAATTGAAACTAGGCCTAGGACCTGGCCCTGCTCCTAGCCTACACCTATGGAAACCTATGACAGCTTTTGGCTATGTACTATGTTACTATTCTTTCTACTTTCTGACTATACTGTATATTCATAGAATTAGGCCTACCATGTGAAGTGAGATGGAATGAAAAAATGTTTGGCAGTTGAGGTTTGAATGATCTTAGTAAATGTTCTAGGGCAGGGATACTTAAATTTTTTGCAGCAGCACTGCATCCCCTGTAATTTAAAAACTTCCCCTCCCCCACCCCCAGCATAAATTAATTATATTTTAATAGTTTTTTTTTTGGAATGAAAATAATTAAATGATTTAGTTTAGTTCTATTTTTCTATTTAACTTTCTAGAAAAAAGAAAAAAATTACCAATAACAGTAATGTGTGAATAAAATTTACCAGGAAAAATTGTTTACTGCTGCTAATCAAAATGCATAACTACTATTTTTTTTAAAAGGAAACAACAACTAGCTATGGCAGAAAATACAATTTGTGGGTCTACCGCACCTCAGGGTGCTTTCAATCCTGGTTAAGAATTACTGTTTCTAGGGAAATGTTTCTGACACAAGTGCAGTTATTTGATATGCATGGGAGGTGATTTTTTTTTTATAGGGTAAGTGGGTGCAGAGGTTTGTTACATTATATTTCAAGGTGGGTCTAAATTTTTGTGACAATTTGAGACAGTGTGGGCATTGGGAGGGGTAAAAAATCTGCAAAATTTGTGTGAATTCATTTATTTATTGGACAATATTTTCAAAATGAAATTACAGCTTTAAGACCTAGATATTGGGCTATGGCTTGAAAAAAAAAGTAATTGATTTGATACCAAAGTTATGATTGTAGGTCCATTCTAAAGAAAGTAATGATCATTTTCAAGAACAAGAATTATTTTAGTATAGCTCTGAAAATTGAGACAAGTAAGAAAATATTAAAGTGAATAATATAAAAACCGGGTAGAGACTTTTTGAGAGAGCTGACACTCCTTGGTCATGTGATTTTTCTCATTTTCAAGCTTTAATACCTGAGAAACTGTTGTGAACAAAATTGTCCACAGCCTCTACAATCAAAGTCTACTTTTAACCGAACACCCCGGGGTCCATGCTACAACACCTTAGGCAGGTTGCTCAAAAATGTAGCAAGGGCACCTTCAAAGATTTCAATTTGGAAAGCCTAGACTTGATGGCAGCAATCTTGAAGTGCCTTTGTAATTTATAACTTGTCATCTTTGGGGGATAAAAACTCATTTAATTTTGTTTGGTTTCATTTTCAAGAATTTGTTGGAATAGTGGAGACTCCATGTCAAGTTGATCACCGATTGGCCGCTTTGGTGTTTAAATCTTTTAACTCGGAGTTTTCCCCCTCCCCAAGAATAACTAAGTCCATTTCCCTTGGTTATTTGCCCACTCACAACTCTTTACCTCCAGGTTATGAGGCAGGTGAGCCATATTTGCATCACAAGAGCATTATTTTATGCTTCTAAATTTTCCTAAATTACCGGCTGCAGAGCGGTCAAGATGATACCAATAAATATAATGTATTTTTAATAATATTTTCAGAAATTCTGACAATGCTGTTGGTAGCATCCTGTGATTTGGTCATAACCATTGCTCAGGCTCTGCTTTATAAAGTAAGTTACTTCTTGTTTTGGCTTTCAATTTGTTTTTCTTACAGCTAACTTCAAACTGCATTCATTTGTTAAATGCAGTAGCTTTGCAATCTCTTATATATATATATATAAATATATATATATATATTACGCTTCTGGTATGACTCGTGGACTGCTTCCTAACAAGCTGGCTGCTTCCTAATTGACTGATTCCATTGCTGGGTCCTCCTAATACACAAATTTGGGTATTAAGAGTATATTACAAATAATTCTAAAAGTTTGAAAGTATGGTTAAATAATGAGTTCAATAGCATGCAAAATATAATTCCCTATAACTACGCTAAATGATATATTTTTTAAAAAATTAACGCAACTGCAATTGGTGTGTAATACTTTCTTTTCGGTAAAGACAATGTCTCAATTTAAGTATGGTGTAAAAACTATTTGGTTTAAAAGTGGTTGGGACACCAGAATGTTTAAGATAGTTCATGGGTGTCAAAAAATAAAAAGTGTCCTGTGACGTATGATGTGGGAAGAGGTTTAGCAAAAATTCGGATTCTTAGATGTGCGTTACTTGAGTTCATAATTTGTCAAGTAACTTTAGTAGATGGGAAGTTCAGGCATTGCTGCCGCCAATGTTTTGCTGGCTTTATCTGGTATATAATTATTTTCCTAGGGTTGCAGCATGCATTGCCACAATGACACACATGCAGGGAAGGAATTATATTCCTAAAAGTTGTCATTACCGATGTCACAGAAACCCTGCATTCCATTCATTTTCTCTCCTGTAGCCTTTTTTAAAACAGCTGTCACTGGATGAAATTTAAAAAAAAAATTATTTCTCCCTACCTACACTATTTGCTGTCACTGCTGTGTAGATCATCTTTAAAATCATTTTACAATAACAGATTATTACTGTCTGGGAACAAATCCAAATAAAAAATAATTAATGTGTGTGTGTTTAAATTGATAATCTTTAATTATCTTGAGTACAAAATACTTGTCCATTAGTTAAGGTACTCTAAATTTCAGCTGTGCAACCAGGCAGAGCAAAGTTCAGAGCCAGATTTCAAGGAGAAGGTGGTTGATTTTGTCAAGCTTGTTCTTCATTTCTTGGAGTGTTTATATGACCACTATTTTTTTTTTGGAGGAAAAGATTGAAAGGGTAACGAAATATAAATTTTAAAAAACAATTTTTAGGTAGCTATGGAAAGGGGATCTTGAACTTTTGAACTTGTATAGAAAATCAGATCATGAGGAAAATACTTATGTGAAAGCTTATCTGGAGCTCAAAACATGAGTTTGTGACAGCATATTTTTAGTTTGTGCAATGAAACCATCATCAAAAGATGTTACCTTCCCACCCCCTCCCCCACCCCATGGCTTGTTGATATGGAACAGTTATTGTCAAAACAAGCTTTAGTGCATAATGAAGCCATTCCATTTTTCCAGGTTAAGTTGACAAAGTGGCCATTTCAATTTTCATTTTCCTAGCAGTTTATTTGTTAATAATTACCGCCTTCAACATTAATGTAACACATATTTTAAGCAGATTATTTAACTTTATATTATAAGGGAGGGGGATGGTATGGTGTTCATATTTCCCTCTTGACCCAAAATTGTGAATAATTTTGAAATGGATTGCTAACATGCAAGTCTGAACGTATGAGGATGGAAAAAAAAAAGTCAAAATAATTTTTTGTACTGCTGTTTGTTTTTCAGAATGTTTTCAAAAACCTTGTATTTCACATGAATTACAGCTCAGACTCCTGCATATGTTTAAGTATGTTTGGTGCAGTGATGTCTGGTTCTCGGGTACTGAAGTGTCTTTAAAAGAATCTCTTCACATTTTAAAAAAAAAATTATGCTTTAATTGATTAACTAACAGATTGAAAAACTCGCCGTGGCCGAATTAAATCTAGGTTACATTTTCTATTTTAAGTGTTTGTACAATTTCAGCTGCAGTTTTCTTAATTATAAACATATTCTTATAATAAATAAGTTTTTTGTAGGTAATTGAATTATCTATAATATAAACTCAAAACATTTGTAAAGTTAATTTTTTTTAGGAAATTATTAATTGTTAAATTAGTATTTTCAATATAAAAAACAATAAAAAATATATTTATATGCCAACTTACATATAAATTATAAATTTCTTATTCGTTTAAAGCCTATTATTTGTTTTTTTCCAAATAGTATATTTAAAAAAATAAAATAAGCCCCAAATAACACAAATTGATAAATATTTACACTTCAATCACTTATATGCCTTTAGTAACCCTGTCACTTGTTGCAGCGGTAAACATGTACAATTTTGTAACTAGCTAGGAAATTAAATCAAACTAATTAACATTTCGTTTTTTAAAACATTCTGCCGATAACTTGCGCTTTGAATATAAACATCGGGTCGGTAAATTAAAATCTCAAAGCGAAACGGAATAATATAAATAATGACTCAATTTACTACGTTTCGTGGCCATAACGAAAAAAATGCCGAGCCTGCTCATGGTAGTTAACCAGCTAAAACAGGGGTGTCAAACTGAATCGCTCAGCAGGCCAAAACGCAAATTACACATAAGGTTGCAGGCTGACCAAGATTAACATCCAAAAGACACATTCTATTGATGTGATTGAGATAATTCAAGTTACGTTGAAGCTTTACAGTACTATACTACTATAATAATAATTAATAGAGTATGTTTAATTTTAATCATATTTTGGAAGTATGTATGTATACTCTACTCATAATATAGAGTATGACTGATTGGCATTCCACTCAAACATACTTACTTATGTTACTCTGGGTTTAAGGATTCAGGCTATTGTTATTTCAACAAAAAAAGTACATAATTTTTCTTCTTCTCTTATTGAGTTAACAATGAATTTTAACACTTTATTTTTTTCAGCCTGTGTTTGTTCCATTTACTTACTTTTGAGAAAACTAACAATTTAATTGAGATTAATTCTTCTCATTTATTGATGTTTCATAACTCATAGGAAAAGGTAACACAGAAATTATTGAAATATAGATACAGATGGACATATTCAGAGATTTGAGAAATCAGAGCAGCTCATCAGATTTTTTAAATAGTTTTTATTATTTTGGGCTTCCATTTTTGTTTTGTTATAGGATGTCTTGTCATGATAATTTTAAAATATCTCTGACTAAAATGAATTAAAAAAAATTTAAATCTGCCAATGAGTTATTTATTTCCCGTCTCCATTTGCAGTACCAAAAAGTGTGTCGGTGGCTAATTCAGTCCTGGACTGAGAATCTTTGCCAAGCTGCTTGTGGTCTCCCATGATGCCAAGCTGCTGTTTGAGTGGAGGTTACCAGGACAACAGCCTGCAGGTCTACAGTCTAGGTCGACCAAAAGCTGTAAACCATGTCATCCGACATGTCGGTGAGAGAGCCCTCTAAGTCAAGTAGTTAACCTAGGCCACAAGTTTTTAGCACCTATGTTACATTATTTGCAATCTTGCTGGGGCACTTGCCATGAGAGTTATACTATTTTTGCAAGTTTAATTAGATTTGCATAGCAGAAGAAATTCTGTGGTCAAAAAAGTTTTGAAAAATTCTGGGTTCATTAGCATCTTGTGATCAGAATGAGTAACAGATATGAAACTTGTTTTGCCATGTCAGTCTATTTTGAGTTAATTCAGTCAGATATTCCCTCAGATATTATGACCTGTTTGGCCATGGACAACTGTGGCAGGCATTTGGTGTCAGGATCAAGGGACACAACTTGCATGGTTATAGAGATAACTCAGCAGGTAATTTGAGGAAGTATTTTGAAGCTTCAGCTTGAATCATTTTTTTTTAATAAATGGAATTGAAAAGTTTTATTTTTAAAAATCTGTTTGTTTGGATGGATGGATGCTTGGATGTGTGGCTGGATGCTTAGATGAGTGGGTGGATGCTTGGATGGATGGGTGGGTCTTTGGATGGGTGCATGCTTGGATGAGTGGGTAGATGCTTGGATGGGTGGGTGGGTGCTTGCTTGGATGGGTGTGTGGGTGCTTGGATAGTTGCTTGGGTGAGAGGGGGGTGGGTGTGTTACAAGGGTGATAACTTGTTGTTTAGTGTGTGTCTTTAAGTTTTTTCATGGCTTCTATAAATGTACTCAAGTTCAAAGATTGGCCAAATTTTGTCATGTGAAAATATCACTGCTACGGGCTGGAGTAAGTGTGAGCGTGAACCCCAAGACACTGCAGACGTTGTATGGACATGACTTAGAAGTGGCAGCCGTTCACATATCTACAGAGCTGGATCTGGTTGTCTCAGCATCAAAGGTACCACTACAATTTTCTCCCTAATGCTATTATTACAATGCTCTAATTCAGTGGTTTCCAACTTTTTTGACTTGTTGGGCCCTTTTTAGAATCAATATTTCTATGGTGGAGCCTACCCTATTTCAACTACAGTTTCATTTAATTTTTATTTATTTATTTTGTTGAGCAGCCTCTGAAATTTGTACAGTTAGTACTTAGGGCTCTGCTGAGCATAGTTCCTACAATAAACTCAACATTACTCAATTACTTTAATTAACTCAACAACATTGCTTCAATAAACTCAACATATTTACTTCATTAAACTCAACATAGTTACTTCAATAAACTCAACACAGTTACTTCAATGAACTTAACATAGTTACTTCAATCCACTCAATAGCATAACTTCAATAAACTCAAAATAGGTTACTTAATAAACTCGGCACAGTTACTACAAATTTTCAAGGCTTTTTCATATTTTCCCAGGATGGAACAGTCATTCTCCGCACGGTACTGAAAGGTATACCATGATCTTGAGAGCACCATCACAGCTTGGCTAGACACTGGACATCCCTCTGATATCTGTCTCGGACACTGGTCAGATTGTGCTGTACTGCTGGAGATGGAGAAGCAGGCAGGGGAGGAAAGAAAGAGATGGCAGGTTGGTGCTTAATGGGTGCTTGTGAATGACCACAGGAGAAAAACTTTTCCAGAAACACAAACATTTGTATTTACTTGTTTCGATGCCAAGAAATACTTTGCCTTCAATATGTATTTACTTGTTTGGTTCCAGGAAAATGTTTGCCTTCCGTACTTTATCTGTTCCAAGAATGAATCAGTGTACTTAATGTGTTTACTTGTTTAATTCCAGGAAAGACTTTGCCTCCATTCGTATTCAGTCAAGGGCAAACATTTGTTCAGTGAACCACTCAAGTACAGCCTGGGAGACTTGTGCATGTCTGGGGACCATCTCATCCTGGGCAACACGGCGGGTCAACTCATTATGGAGATCTTGGGTAAGTGGGTCAAGCCATTATATGGACAACTCTTGGTAAATGGGTCAATGCAGCTTAACTCATTGGCTCTGCTTTTACCTTTTGGCTGCGGTAGGTAACTTGTTTGAAAAGAACCACATTAAGCTGTTCAAAAGAGAAATAGAAAAAAAAAAGGATTTGTTTATTTCTTTTATGTGCTGTTTAAATTAATGAAGTGATCACTTTACTAATTAATGAAAGTGAGCAATTTGAAAGGTCAAGTCAAGTGATCAATTTGAAATGACCAGTTAAGTGATCAGTTTGAAATGACCAGTTAAGTGATCAATTTGAAAGGTCCAGTTAAGTGATCAATTTGAAAAGTTCAGTGAATTGATCAATTTAAAAGGTCCAGTTAATTGATCAATTTAAAAGGTCCAGTTAAGTGATCAGTTTGAAATATCCAGTTAAGTGATCAATTTGAAGGTCCAGTTAAGTCATCATTTTGAAAGGACCAGTTAATTGATCAATTAGAAAGATCCAGTTAAGTTATCAATTTGAAAGGTCCAGTTAAGTGATCAATTTGAAAGGTCCAGTTAATTGATCAATTTGAAAGGTCCAGTTAAGTTATCAATTAGAAAGATCCAGTTAAGTGATCAATTTGAAAGGTCCAGTTAATTGATCAATTTGAAAGGTCCAGTTAAGTTATCAATTTGAAAGGACCAGTTAACGCTTTTCGGGGCAGAGGTACTTCCTCTTGCATGTCCTGAACGGGCACCACTTTTCCGTTTTTTAGTTAAGATTTCGGGTTATGTTACACAAAAAAATCAAATCTACGTTCAACAAATTTGTGTGAAATAAAAAGGAAAATGAATGCAGATTTATAATTGTATTCACATTTTGCCATTAATCCTCATATGAACACAATTATTTGCAAAAAACAACATATTGTTTGTGATTGTGAGTCATCTATTCACTATTGACAAACACTGCCACAAAATCGAAGTTTGTAAAATTCAACACTGCTTACTACGCTGATTTCACTAATATTACTAATAATATTAATAGCTAGTTCCAATTTACAGTCAATTCGTGCACTTAAATGTCACTTAAATTGAATCCAGCGAAATCTCCGCTATCACTTGAATAATAGGCAAATCAATCGGCAAAATCCATTTCCAAAAAAAAAAATTTTTAAACCCCTAAAACTACAAAAAAAATCTTTAAATACTTGTAACTGGCGCCTACTCTATTTAGCTATCGGAAAAACCGGATGTTAACAATAGGAAGTCTCGCAAAACCTCAGAGGTCACGAGAAAACAACACTGTCGCCACGGACGCTTTTGGGCGTTTTGCCCTTTAAGTTGTAAAGACATTTTCGGCCGCTCTGTCCCGTAAAGGGTTAAGTGATCAATTTGACAGGTCCAGTTAAGTAATCAATTTGACGGGTCCAGTTAAGTGATCAATTTGAAAGGACCAGTTAATGATCAATTTGAAAGGACCAATTAATAATCAGTTTGAAAGGTCGGGCTAAGTGATCAATTTGCAGTTGTAAATTTAAGTCAGATGTTGCAGTAATCTGTTTAAAAACTATGTCATGTTTTATGAGTTGTCCCATTACATATCTGTGAAATAATTAGAGCATTGTCCCCCATCAGGTTGAGACCCATCACACCCATGGAACTCTTGGTGCCCATTCAGTGTGTCACTCTATCCAATGGCAGCAGTCATATCCTCGCTGAGCCCAAGGATGGGTAGCCTATCATTGTGGGCAACAAGGGCGAGTGAGATTACCGGAGGCTGGTCTCATGGCAGACATCTTGGGGATGTGAGATTACTGGAGGCTGGTCTTATGGTAGACATCGTGGGGAAGTGAGATTACCGGAAGCTGGTCTTGTGGCAGATACCTTGGACAAGTGAGATTACCGGAGGCTGGTCTCATGGCAGACATCTTGGGGAAGTGAGATTACCAGAGGCTGGTCTCATGGCAGACATCTTGGGGATGTGAGATTACCGGAGGCTGGTCTTATGGTAGACACCTTGGGCACGTGAGATTACCGGAGGCTGGTATTGTGGCTTACATTTTGGGGAAGTGAGATTACCGGAGGCTGGTCTCATGGCAGACATCTTGGGGATGTGAGATTACTGGAGGCTGGTCTTATGGTAGACATCGTGGGGAAGTGAGATTACCGTAAGCTGGTCTCATGGTAGACATCTTGGGGATGTGAGATTACTGGAGGCTGGTCTTATGGTAGACATATTGGGGAAGTGAGATTACCGGAAGCTGGTCTTATGGTAGACATCTTGGGGAAGTGAGATTACCGGAGGCTGGTCTCATGGCAGACATCTTGGGGATGTGAGATTACTGGAGGCTGGTCTTATGGTTGACATCGTGGGGAAGTGAGATTACCGGAAGCTGGTCTTGTGGCAGATACCTTGGACAAGTGAGATTACCGGAGGCTGGTCTCATGGCAGACATCTTGGGGAAGTGAGATTACCAGAGGCTGGTCTCAAGGCTGGTCTCATGGCAGACATCGTGGGGAAGTGAGATTACCGGAGGCTGGTCTCATGGTAGACATCTTGGGGATGTGAGATTACCGGAGGCTGGTCTTATGGTAGACACCTTGGGCACGTGAGATTACCGGAGGCTGGTCTTGTGGCTTACATTTTGGGGAAGTGAGATTACCGGAGGCTGGTCTCATGGCAGACATCTTGGGGATGTGAGATTACTGGAGGCTGGTCTTGTGGTAGACATCGTGGGGAAGTGAGATTACCGGAAGCTGGTCTCATGGTAGACATCTTGGGGATGTGAGATTACTGGAGGCTGGTCTTATGGTAGACATATTGGGGAAGTGAGATTACCGGAGGCTGGTCTTATGGTAGACATCTTGGGGAAGTGAGATTACCGGAGGCTGGTCTCATGGCAGACATCTTGGGGATGTGGATTACCGGAGGCTGGTTTTCTGGCAGACATTTTGGAATAGAGGCTTAATTTGTACGGTTGCACAGGGAAGTGAGCACTATACAATTCTGTTGTGTTGACACAGTAGTCAAGTCAGCTTTGTAAAAGCACATTTTAAAGCAACAATTTGTTTATGCGGGTTGAACTTGCTGTTAAAATTATTTCCTTGGACATTACACTGAAACATGAACTGTATAGTATGTACTATGTTGTTATGAAAGCTCATTTGTTTGTGAACGTCAGTGTTTAGTTCCTGTTTGAAAGCCAGGGAACTGAATCTGCAATATCCTTACTCCATCAATGTGTGACAACTCATCTTGTCCTGGCGCTCACCCCTCCCCCCCCACCCTTCCCCTCCCCCTTCTACCTCCTTAAAGTCTAAAAAATAGTCTGTGGACTGCAGGTTGTGAATCCCTAACCTAGAAATAACTTTAAAAGCTGTAAAGTTTTTGTAAATGTTGCTGCTGATGCTGTCTGCGGCCCAATATTTATTATTTCCTTTTTAAAAAAAACATCATTTCTTTTTTTTGTGTGTGCGTAATGAGTTGTTGCTAAATAAATAAATGCTTTCATAATTTAATTACATAAAAATTTATTTTATTTGTTGATTGCTTGTTGACACAAAACTCTGCATGAATTTGTACTACATGACCCCATCAAATTGTGATTTAAAAAAAAAAAAAATTTGTTTGTTGCATTGTGAATGAACAAGTTTCCAGATTGCATTATTTTAGAACTTGCTCTTTTCTGCACTTGTTATTCTTATTATGTTGTAATTTATGTTTAATATATGTCCCACAGAAATTACTTTACCCTTTGACTAAAATATGCAAGAAACAATTGATTTACTAATCAAAGTGAGTGATCTGGAAATAATAATTAATTATAAAAATGATTTAAGCCAGCAGGTGACATGATATTTCACATTAAAGAACAAAAGCTATTCAGTTACTTCATCCATGAATGTCCTTTTATTTCTTTTCTTTTCTTACATTTGAATTTGCATATTTAACAAATTGTCCAATTACTGTATTTATTAATCTCTTTTCATGTATTGTTTATTATCTCCCCTTTAACATATTTATTCCAGCTTTGCCAATGGCTCTTAAAATGTTAATTTAAGATGAAATGGTCTAACTCTGTTGTATGAAGTGGTTTGTGATGGCTTCATTGTTTGTTGTTTTTTTAAAAGAAAAACAAGATTGATCTATAAATATTGTTAACATAGAAATTGCTCTCTAAAATTTAGGAAAATAACAAAAAAAACAGAAATGTGAACCAAAAAAATAAATTAAAAAAAACACAATACCATTAAAAAGAAATCTTTTTTTTTGCTATGTTTTATTGAGAGATTAAATAGTTCAATATGTCTAAAAAAAAAATAAAGAACAAAGAAGAATTTGTCAAGGACTTTTTTTCTGTTATTTAAGTCGTTATTTATTTATTTTTTTTATTTTTTTTTGTGTGATGTGTTAAGACATGATAATTTCTGATAATGGTGGCTTATGTTATGATCTATGTTAAAGTTAAATTCTTTTTATTGCGAATACTTGTCTAGTCATGTTGAACAAAAAAAATCAAGTTTTCCAGTGATTCACAGACTTTCTTTTTCTCCTGTATACCATTTACATTTTGAGAACTCAATGGTCTGAGGCTATACACAAGCGAACAATGCGTCTAATGACAAGTGGGGTAAGTTGTGAGTTCAACCAACGCGTCCTGAGACGTTATCACGTCAATGGACTGTACAGGTCTTTGGACTTTCTGGGGATCATTTAAGAGGTTAATTTGACCAAACATGTCCAGGTGGTCTACATTAAACATACGTTGACAACTATGAGGTGGTCTACATAAAAATTACCTTGACAACTATGAGGTGGTCTACATTAAAATTACCTTGACAACTATGAGGTGGTCTACACTAAAATTACCTTGAAAACTATGAGGTGGTCTACATTAAAATTACCTTGACAACTATGAAGTGTAATACATTAAAATTACCTTGACAACTATACGTCAAAATATTCACGTTATAATTCACTTACAATAAAATAAAAACATTTATAAACAGCCAAACATCTTTAA